AAAAAACCTCACCTGAAGACTCTAGTTATTAACCATAACAACCGTTTGTACAACGCCATAAAACTTGTCAGTGATAGTTATTGTTGGGATTGAATCGAATCGTTCGAAAGTACCATTTTAATAGTGTAGATAAGTACCTCAATTGTACCTTACTTCTTCATACGTATTCTTTTTAGGGAATCACAATCATAGTGTCAACAGGCTTTAAAAGTTGCACATGTATGAGCTTCCTATAAAACACATTAGCCTAGACCACGTATTTTCTAAAATACAATTTAATGCATGTGGTACATTAACATCTAAGTATCAAACCCTTTAGGAATATAGCAATATTCAAAACATGCTCTAAACATTATTATTGCATGTTCTGAGTTGCCTGTAATATAGTTCGACTGTGAAATTTGAAAATGCATATGTCATACATATCAATATGTATTTCTCTTGAGGTTTCTATTTTATAAAATAATTAATAAACCTTCGTATAATTTTACGAATTGGAGATATCGCAGTCTGGTTTGAAAAGTTTTGTCATTTCATAACAGCAACAGAAAGGTGACAAATCGTTTTCTTATACATGATAATCCTTCTTAGAATAAAGCATCAGGAAATGTAACAAATTCACAAACGGATTAATAAAGAATTTTGTTCTAAGGTATAGTTATGTTCAAGCTTGATTTTATAAACTTCTTTTTGACAACAAACAAAAGAATATTCCACTTGTACATTTTAAACGCATCGTCTTTAAAGTGACATTATGCTCATATTTTCATAGTTAAGTTGAGCTGAATTGACTTTATATTTCTAAAGATTGACTGTCAAAATGGTGTTTGACCAACAGTTGATATTGGAAAATGTTTAGGATAAAATTATAAATCTACCTAAAATTTAAAAAAACTGCCCAACTCTTTTTATAAAACTAAGCGTTATACGTAAATTCTAACGGATATTTATAGAAATTTCATTTGAATCTGTGTGTTATCTATTGTTTATGTGAACCTAATTATTAAATTAAAAGGGATTATGGCAAAATGAAAACCTATTTTGATCTTCACCCGTTCACTCACTATATACCCTTGGATGGGCATAATGTCACTTTAAATGTTATGTTTTTAATTTTTAGACAATTTAACCATTGCCATAATTACTCGTTGAATACTGCTAAAGCCGGTTAAGTATCTTACACATTAAATAGACTTATTGAAACGAGGCTGCACCATTTTTAATTAACGCTCTTAGCCTTCTTCGGGTAGTCTGCCGTTTTAATCAAACAACTAAATTGTCTTGCTTTTCAATTTGCATGTGTTTCAAGTCAAATGTTGTAAGCCATAATTTATTGAAGCTTCAAACCAACTCTTCCACTTCCTTTTTGTTTTGATACCTTGATACTTTCGCATTAATGCTTTTATTTAATAAAATCATTATTCATGTCATAAAATCAGTACAAATCATTAAGACATTTAACATTAACATTCAGCAAACATTTTGATACACTTGTTGTGAACTATTCGTCTGATTGTTTAACTATGTAGATCTATATTTCTGCTTGTAACCGTTGAAAAAATAAATGATTACCGTCTTCTACAAATATAGAGATGGTTGTATTACAGTGCAATGTCTAAATGCTTGCTTTATATTTAATTTGTTGCTGTATTTTGACATTGAAATCACATTATCTTTGAATAAATTGTTCTAAAGTCAAAGCAAAGCAGAACAAATTATTAACCAATGCAGAAAGTATATATCTAATGTTTACGAAGTTTGGGTCCATCCTATGTTTATACAATTTTGATTAAACAATATAAAATTAAATTATTCATTGGTTATCTAAATAGTAGCTAGTTTATATGTTAAGAAGTTCGTTTCTTATCTAGTGTTTGTCAGCAGAAGATGATAACTTGTAATATATGATGTTGAAACACGTGTCAGACGCAGTAAATGACATGTAATCATAACAACTATAGGATTGTAAATTGTTGTTTATAACGAATGAAGCGTCTCTGAAGTGCAGTAGGTGACGCGGATGTGTGAATACATAACTTTTCATAAATATGTATTACACTTACAGAGAGTGCGAAATTTAATCATAATACCTACTCGTAATGTGTCGAATATATTATCTTTTTTTTGGTACAATTGACTGTTTATTACACGCACAGGTGAATCTTACTGTTGTAAAATTTGAAACAACTCTATAAACTAAAGCCTGAAGAACATCATTTTATTAGTATACTCCTCTTAAATTTGTTTCCGTAATCATTACGATAATTGCAATTTGAATGGTATCAAAATATTGCGAAGACTACATTTATGAAATGGCGCTGATATGGTATAATTCTTAAAAGCAGAATTATGCCATGTGTTTTACCATAACCTTTTGTATCAAAATTAGAAACGTATTACAATTTCAAAATAGTTTTAAATTAATCTGAAATATTTTAATTACCTGCGTGCGAAGCATTATTGCATGGTGCTACCCCTTGATGCTATCACTTATATGTTCTATTATTTATATGCAGCATTCAAACAATGGTAATTTGAAAAACATATTATTGCATATTTTAATATTAATAACTCATCATTTGAAGCTATAATTAAATTGTGTAATATAATATCTTACTATAATATGCAAAAGAATGGAACATGTGTTTTGTTGTTTTACTGTTTTACTATTGTTATGTAGCGGTAATTAATATCTAATCTGTCTCATAGCATTGGCTGATGGGGAACATGTTGAAACCGTGTTTTATGCGTTTTATCTGACCTTGGGAATGCATGGTTATTTCAATTTCAAACTACTTCAGTTGCTTATGGCATGGATATTGCAAATATCTGATGTTATGTTTCAACAAACGTTTGCTCTCACGTAGGAATATTAAAATTGACTATTCATTAATTACCGATCTAAGTAGCAGGGCAACTCACTTGATTGTCTAATAAGAAAGTGTCAAGGTAAGGTTTTGTTTGATTTCAGTTTGTTGTACTAAAATGACCAATATTTATACAGCTTTAATTCAGTTTTTCGCTTTGAATTACACAGGAAGGAAGTAATGGTAAACAAGACAGCTTTCCGAAGAAAAATGTTACAATAGATGAAATAAATTCACTCAGTAAAATATATTTACACGTGAAGTTTTTGTTCTAATGATAGAATCTTAGCGGAGTATTTTTGTTGTTAAGATGAATCGTGTTATAGATATGGTTCTTTTAGGCTATTTGCCATTATGTTACTAATAAAAATGTTTAAAATACTTAATAAATACACTAATTAGATCGTTACATAGATGCAACACTTTGTCAAAAATAGGTTTCGACTGACTAAACTTTAAGTTAATACGTTTTATTAGCATAGTGTAAACATGGATGAATGTTTTAAATATGCCGTAGTTATGCAGTAAAATCTCTGACTGGTCATACATTTGTATATGTTGTAGTTCTTGCTTGAAATTATAGTAGATAATTGTATCTGCCTATTCTTGTACATTTCGCCTTAAAATAAAAATAGTCCTCGTTCTTTACCGTAAATAATAATATAGACACAATTAATTTTCTTATAGAACACTTGTGACGTCCCAGCTTTATTGGCTAAGGAAAATCTGAGGTGCCCATATGTGCAATACTGATCTACATATGTAAAATTTAAACTCGTACATAACTTAATATTCGTATGGCTGTATACAGTATACGAGCATTTTCAGACATTTTAAATTAACTTTTTTACAAAACAACACAAACATATGCTTATAACAGTGAATGACCTATGTTGACTTTGTCAAGATGAATTAACCGCAAAAACATTGCCTTACCATTCATAGAGACGGAACAGATACGCTTTTTGACGTAAGCAATGCGGGATTAATGTTTCCCTTGTGAAATGATAAGTTTACTTTTAAGACTTAGATAACACAATATAGTCTTTTACGATAATAAATGTCTCATCTTGTCCAATGGTTGATACGTAGTTGTTCAAGTTTATTAGAAGTATCATTTCTAAAGTTGTGTATTGTTTAATAAAAACCGATCACTTATTTTTAACATAAGCAATGCCTATTGCTTATTTAAAGAGATAGCAACAAAAGAAAGATGCTACTGTCAAAGATAACATTCCAGGATATAGCATAGCGATAGTTCCTCGTTAAACAACAAATGATTTTTCGCTGCTTTAAAATAATCTCTATCAGGCCTCAATTTATTTTATTGCAAAATGCAAGAGGTAAAAATCGATATAAAGTCACTAAAACTGTTCTATTGTTATGCAAATACCTTTCAACAATTAGTGACACGACACGAAAGATTCAATACAGACAATTAAAATACTGACATGTGTAAAATATTGGACAAACAACTAAAATTCCAACACTACAAGATAACGAAAATCAGCTCGTTGACTTTAATGGGGCCTAGATTATTCTGCGATGATCATCTTACTTTGCTAAGTTTATTGTTTGATGAAAAGGAATTACTTTGTTATATTCACGCAGATTGTTTAATTTACGTAAGATAGTTTTAAGTGGTTTGGCATGTAAACATTTATGCAAATATAATACGAACAAGACAGGTCCGCAGCAGAGCACAATTTAAGTAGTTACCCAAGAGATTTTCATGTGTTTTTCGAAAACATTAAGGAATAGAAAAATAATATAAATGCGATTCAGTATATCTCTAATAAAATATTCAGGATGATTTCCAAACGTCACTTCTTTATTTAAAAGTTTCAAATTTTCGAAGGATAAATATTCATATATACCATCATGCTTAATGAGTCGATACAGCAATGCATGAATAAAATATTATTGATATACTATAACTTTGCAATGTTGGATCTTGTATATGGTTTTCTTTTCCTGCCTTTAACAGAAATGTGGGGCTAATATATTTGACCATTGGGCAATATGCGATTAACAGGACCAACAACATTTCTTCGTCAACATTACCTATAAGAAAGTTTAAGAGTAGTTCCTTGAATCAGCATGTTGGAAACAATACAATGAAATTATGTAATCAAATGATCAAGCAGTTTGTATAATAATTGCTCTGGACACTACAATACCTTACGGAAATAGCGGCAGTCAGAAAATACAAACATGGGTTATATCTTCCACAATACAGTCATTTATATGATATGCAAATTGTTACGTATATCCATTTCGAGGTCTCTGGAGGTCTATAGATAATTCATATAGTAAAATGATAAATATCATAAATATGTATGAGACGTAAAGATAAAAAGGCTGCGCGTTTAATGCGAAATTCAATGATTTGGAAACTAAATCGCTACCAGTAACAGTGCGTATCCTCGTTTAGTGGCTGTTTTGCAATGTTAACATCAATTAGGTGAATTTGTGTACGTTTTTATAAATAGATACGCATTGCTAAAATAGTTTCTCATACTCTTTTGGAGAAATTAATTTGATGTTTTATCTAATTGGACAATTTGTCTCACATGATCTGTGATGCCAACAGCGACTTAGTTTAAGGTAAGAGTATAATATTTAGTTGATAAAGAATAACAATAGAATGCTTATGAAATAAAGTTTAAATATAATTATGTAAAACATACGAGTAATATTAGGAGTTAAGGCAGCATCCTTACTGAATTGTGCTCATTTTCCAACAGTTATTTTTTTTTGTTATCTTCTTTACTTTAACTTATGTTTATTTTCAATGTTTAATTCCGTCTAAATGTTAATATGTAAGTATTGTATATGCATGTAAATTGAAATTCTAACGATTCATACAAGTACAATGTGTCAATCCAAAGTTTTTGAAAGAAGTCACAGAGTGTAAGCATAATTTATACCAAATATTAAAATTTAAAAAAGTCATTCTTGGTTTGTTGCGTTTGTCTTCCTATTTATAATGATTACAAAGAAGTCAATTATCTAAAGAATATCTATAGAACGATAAGTAAAGTATTTCCATTAAATGTCACAATTATAAGTGTACAAAAATATGGCGAATATGATTAATTATATTTTTTAATTTTCTTTGATGACGTACATAAAAAGAAATTGCATCATTAGTATATATCAAACTAATTTGTAGAACAAATGATGCATGTAGCAAGAACGTTACTTTACGATGAAAATTTTCCTCACATTAAAAGTGCAATCTGTCAATGTATTGTTGCTTAACACTATAATTTACAAAACAAATTGTAGTAAGATACAGCTGCAATAATAAACTATCTTTGAAATTGAATGATATTTCAAACATAAACAAAGTTATACTTTAATGAGAATTGAATGCTTTCTCGGATTATACATCATCATTTACTCCCACGTGATTTCAATAACGACCAGTTATCTTTGAATTAGGTTATACAATATTCATTTTATTACACTCTTGTGTATTTTCATGAATACTTAAAAACAATTGTAGACTCACTACTAAGTGGATTTCAAAAGGTTAAACGGATAATTGTTTAAAAAAAACATGTTTTATTACAACAATGTTCTGCTATGAAAAATGGCATGACAACGTTAAGTGACAAAGAAACGCTACATGTATTAATCTATTTAAAAATAATTATTGTCTAATAACACAATATTTCAACATACCCATCAACTCACAGTTATATTTGAGAGATAGATAATTTGCATCACTGACATAAAAATAATTTTATTTTATTTTGCTAAACAGATAATTAATGAATCCTTGTTACATATATTTAAAATCTGAGACAATCGAAAACCATCAACGAAAACAATTTCTTTTGCTTACTTAGATACACATGTATCTCAAATTAAACATTGACTCATTTACATTAAGTATGCAAGTTTGCTATATCGTTTTCCTATTTTGATATATTTGTTATTTTTATAAATCTCATTTTAAGAATGTTTGTAAAATCAAAGTAAGTTATTAAAATAGCACATTTGGCGTTTCGAAATGCTTTATTGCTTTATCCGGAAGTACTGTTGTTACAAAAGTAACGTAAATATATTAATATAATTGATCTAATTGTTGGTGTGGTTGACTTTTATTTCAAAAACAAGAGACACATCATGAAACACGTACATGTATTTAAAACTCAGATGAATTGATATAATGTTGAACAGGATTGAACAGAAAACGACACTTGACATATGACACCATTTCTAAAGCAAATATAATAAATCATGCTCTATTATTATGCAAAAGTAATTAATCATATTGAAACACAATTTAATTCATAATTATTTCATTTTCAAAATCAATTTAGAAAGCATTGTAAACTGTGTATAAACAACTCATAAACTACCCAAAAACGTTTTTTTTTACTTATTATTATAAGTTTTGAGGTCCTTAAAGTCCATAACCTTTTTTAGGTATTAGAATATCTATTTTGTTTAAATTTCTATAATAATGATAAAAAAATTTAAAGTCAATATATCTAAAACTAAGATTTGTCCGTGGTACATATCTATTGCATCACTTAGTTACAGTGAGAAATAATTACAGTTTTCTTCATTAAATGTTTTAGAAACACATGATCTTTAATTTGTTTGGGGAGCTTCGCATGATGTTAAGTAGGTTATTTGGATACCGCTGCTGCTTTTTAAAAATATTTGCAATTGCTATTTATATTTTCTTGTATCCAGGTAAATGATTTAATGAGTATAATCAATCCTCTAGACTTAATAGTGTTCTTCGTTTGAAATTTGAAGCTTTGACTGTAGCATGTAAAAAGGACCGTCGCCTTAGAAAAAGTTAATCACACGAAAAAAACAAAGCAATAAGTATACAAAGTATAAAGAAACTACAGTTTTTCTTCTTCTTTGACTCATGAAAATGGACGACATGAATCAAATAAACTATTGTATAATGGCTCGAACAGACGGACAACCTGATTCCATTATAACCACTTACAAGTGCGTTTGATAAAAAAATATAAAATATGTTCCGTTGTGACCTGTATGTTTTTTTTAGATTTGCGAAGGTCTTTTTTCTTTTCATTTTTTTCTTTTTCATTTAGGAAAATAATGTAAATCAGAGACTTTACCTTATTTAAATGCGCACCAAGTCTTAGCCTTGTGACAAGAAGATAGACATCTTCTGTCATTGATCTTAATTTGTGCACAATAAAATGGAACAATTGACATGCCGACTTAAGTTTGCAAGTATCACAAGGCAATCTTAAAATCCTTTGGAATTTACATGTCCACTTTCGTTCAAAGAATTTCACGGGAGAATTGATTGTTTGAATTGAATTATATTCCTCCAAAGGAAATTTGCAGCAATGTTAAATTTTAGTGAATTATTTTGTTCAGATAATATCTTTACAAAGATTTTCTATATTCAATTATTCTTAACGAATTCCACGTCTTAAAGAAGCAAAATGATAAACATAGCATTCATTTATTTGTAATTGATTACAATTATTTATAGCGAAATTAGTTAACTAACGGGTTACTTTTTTCAATGTATTTAAATTTAATTGCAATTATTTTTTATTCAATTACAATTACTTTTTTGGTTGAATATATTATTCAGTTATACGTGTAGGTATGGGTCTATTTATACTTGCAAAGCGGCAACATACACAAGGGTACTTACTGTATTCAATATATTTAGCTAATTTACAATTTGAAGTGACTTTGTAACTTCTAGATATGATCAAATGTATAGATAGGAACAATGTATGCATTTAGCTTTTAATGTCCCGGTGCATTCTTTGGTATTTGAAGCAGCGTAGTTGAAATGTTTCAACCTTTCTTGAGAAATGAGCACACAAAGTATGCATGGTATTTAGATAATGTTCATGTGAAGTAACCAAGATTATGAGGTAATTGTCTCATTTATAGTTAGTCTTCGTATACTATATGTTTCGTTTTGCATTCGGCAAATGGAAAGTTGCTCAATGATTTCACTCAACAAAAAACACAAACCTATCAAGAAGCACATTTAAATATTTTATTTGCAACAAACTGTTAAAGATAATAGGGTATTGTGGATTAAGTTATCGCTTGTAAAGAAAATATTACAGTTTTAGACAACAAACAAAACTAGGAGATTCTGTTATGGCCTTCTTATATAACTGATCAATCTCTACTCTTGACATTTTATTTGAATAATAATACATTTAACTACAAACATTGATATGAGCTTTTTTGTTACAAATATGTTGTGGTGCAATTCTTATAGTATCCACTTATCTAATAATTAGAATTAGACAGATCAGGGATCTATGCATGAATCAATTATCAGATGCGATACCCCAGTTTAATGATCACTTATTACATTATTTCATTTATTAGGGATGAAATAGTACTGATTCCCTTTATTTTACTTAATATATGGTCTAAAATTGTTATTAAAATGTAATTAAAATGCGATTGGCAATAAAGAAATAAATTTGCTAAGTAATTACTTGTATTCAATATCAGGTAATTAAAATGAATTTTCAATTACAAGATACATTCATTTGAATATTTTTTATTAATTACATTTCATTACAACTACGCAATTCTTGAACCAACCATTGCATGTTGGTCGACAAAGAGAAAATATCAAGTGTTGTATTATTTCTAACATGAGATACAACTTCAAAAATAATAAATCATTCTTTAAACCAAGCAATAATTTCTATCTTTACTCACTTAAGAAACAAATTTCAAGAAGAATTGAAAGCTTTTATAGGCTGTAGGCTATCATTTTTCTCCATAGCTCTTGAAATAACGTTCAATTATCTTTGATATACTCTGAACAATAAGCATTATTCTATAGTGTATTCTAACATTGTGATAAGAGCATTTTCAGATCATGAACAGAGGTATTAGAGGATAATCAAAGCAAGTTCAATACGTAGAGAAAACAAACATTTTGACATTAAGTTAGAAGGCATCTTATACTTTAAACAATGATTATTTTGTGTTCCAAAAATGCATTAAGTTGAATATCTGTAGAATGTAATATAATTGGATTTTATTTATATTATTTAGAACACGAAGACATTGATTTCATTTTATCATGTTATGTACACAATCAGTGTTTTAAACAATTTCAAATCAAATGCCTTAATTCATGAATAATAGCATAGTGTATTTTGAATTATACTTTTTACAATCTTTATGTTGATGGAAATAAACATCCAACTAAGATGCAGTCAAGTAAAACTTATCAAAATTGCTTCAGCTTCATCTTTTAAATATTAGGGAAACAGTGTTTTTAACTCGTTTATTTGAAGGATCTATCTTTCTAGTAACTACATTTATATTGAATGTAAATGGCTTAATTCAGGTGCTCACCCGTATCTGAAATAATGTTTGGAATGTTTTTAACAAATCAAAAACATAGAATGACACCATGTTATCTAAGACTACGCACATTTCGTAAGGTCAGTATGATGTTATATATATATATGTAGACTATATTGTTTGATGTAGTACAAATGATAACAATTCTAAATATGCCTTTGGCACAAACGATATTGTAAGTTCAAAGAATATTAAACAATAGTATACCCTATGCATATTATATATATTATATTATGAGA